ACCTCTGATCTGCCACTGGATGAACTTTCATATATGGTTCAACCCACTGATTTCTGATCTGGGTCTCTGAGAACAGGAGGTTTTCTTTCTGTTTCCACCAGTCCTCATAGAAACCTTATGGGTTTCTATGGTTGTAGTTGTGCTAATTGTGACAGAGATTCTGAAAAAAAAAAATCTTGGCTGCATTTTCACTCCAGGATCTTTAGGGATCAGAGGGCATTATGTGTTTATGCCCACCCACTATTCCCAGCAAGCGGGGCAGATTGAATGGCTACATCCAACACCCAACTTTATTTCTTTTAATGTATGCTTGGCTTTTGGAGACCTGAAATTGCACTATGGTTATGTAAAGTGATTAACCCAAATAATTCTCTCGGGACTCTTCAGGGTTCATGCACACAGAGCTTAAAAAATGCAGCTTTTACAGGCGTTGAGATTTTTTTTTTCATGCTGTAAAAGCACACAGAGGTGTATTAGAAGAGGAGTGTTTATTTATTTACTTATATAGCTCTGTCAATTTATGCAGCACTTTTACATATATATTGTACATTCACATCAGTCCCTAACCCTCAAGGGGTGTACAATCTAAGGTCCCTAACTTGCATTCATACATACACATACTAGGGACAATTTAGACAGGAGCTAATTAACCTATCAGCATGTCTTTGGAGTGTGGGAGGAAACCCATGCAAGCACAGGGAGAATATGCAAACTCCAGGCAGTTGGTGCCATGGTTGGGATTCAAACCAGTGACCCTAGTACTGCCAGGCAGAAATGCTAACCATTTAGCCACTGTGCCGCCTGAAAAAAACTGAAAAAACCCCCCACCAAAAGCACATTCAGAAGAGGCGCTGAAGCACAGGAAAAAACATTAAACACACCTAAATGCATCTAAACCCACATACATGTTAGACACATCTAGCATTTGAGCATTAATGTATTACAATGGCCAATAAACTAATACTCTGGCCAACAGAATGCATTAACTCTTAGACACTAGACATGCCAAAACACGTGTGCAATTCATGGCTTTATCACATTTTTAAGCAACATTTGCCTGCCAAGCGTTCTGGCTTTCAGACGGGATTAAACAAATGCCCTGCGTAGAGGCCTAAATGTTATTGTTCTGCTGGGAAGTATCATGCAAGTGAAACTCATTTTTTAAAAAAAAATATATAAAAGACGATTAACTTGTAATTAACCTGTCCCAGGCTTAGATAATAATTATCGCCCTCTTGACGTACATGCCATAGCAATGTTTACTAGTTCTATTCTTCCTCATCTGCATGCACGGCCATAATCCCTGAGTTTTATTACAGTAGAGAGGTCATACTGCTACAGAGATCACTCTTGTTTATCAGATGACTGGAATGGTTTCAAGCTGCTAGTTAAAGGCAAGAAGATAATTTTTTTTAGGTGGTTTCAGACAGCCAGGCGCCTCTGATATTAATAAAGAAGGCTGGAAGTTATTGGTCAACCTATGCAGGTTCCTTTTAACTTTTACCTAGAGGAAAAGCCTTTGTAACTGATTAAACCTGTAGGGAATATGCTTTTCTTTTTTCTATAGTAATGAAGCAATAAACATTTTACACATAAGAAAAATGTAAAGTATTCCAACACCTCCAAAGTTTCAAATGTTTTTCCACCTTGAAAAAACTGGGGAGTGGGGCACCATTTAAATACATTTTCATTTTAAGGCCTCATGCGCACAGGGCATAAAATAACACTGCTTTTAGGGGTGTTTGGGTTTTTTTTCTGCCTCTAAACACCCCTCTATGTTAGATTATGTGGTCATGCACACATAGAAGTTTACATGTGATTTAGAAGAGGAGCAGTTAGAGGCAGAAAAACACCCCCATCACCAGCGCATTTAGGGGAAGAGCATTTGGGCAGAAAAAACACAAAACACATCTAAATGTGCCTAAATGCTAGCACTTGAGAGATCATTCATTCCAGTGGCCAGAATAAATGAATATTCTGGCCAATGGAATGAATTAATGCCAAAATGCTTGATGTGCCTAAACACTTTTGCAAAACGCAGCCTTAAGCACACTTAAGCTGCTTTTTTCCTGCCAGAAGCAAAGGCATTCAGAAGAACTGGGCAAATGCCTAGTATGCATGAAGCTTAAATGTCTCCATAAGTACAGTGGCTAAATGGTTAGCACTTCCGCCTGGCAGTACTAGAGTCATTGGTTTGAATCCCAGCCACAGCACCTCCTGCCTGGAGGTTGCATGTTCTCTCTGTGCCTGTGTGGGTTTCCTCTGGGTACTCCAGTTTCCTCCCACACTCCAAAGACATGCTGGTAGGTTAGCTGGCTCCCGTCTAAATTGGCCCTAGTATGAATGTGTGTTAGGAACTTTAGATTGTACACCCCTTGAGGGTTAGGGACTGATATGAATGTACAATATATATGTAAAGCGCTGCGTAAATTGACAGTGCTATATAAGTACCTGAAATAAATAATAACATAAACCCATTATGTTTTAGAATGTTGAAAAGAAATGTCTTTTTATGATGTCCTCAGGGCTCCAACTGCCATCCACACTTATAAGCAGGGTTGGGACAAGGGGTGGGCAGGGGGTCAGAGAATGAATGTAGGGCGGTATGGCAGAGAATGAATGTAGGGCGGTACACCCATTCTACAATGAGCCTTAATAATGAAGAAGGGGCACAATTCCACATCCCTTGCCCTGGATGCTGTCCTGATACTGCTTATAAAGATTAGAATTTTTATTCCTGAGTAGAACACTCTCTCTGTTAAGCAAGTCATAATCGATGTGTGCATTAGGCCTAATGTGCGGTACACACTATAATTTTTTTTCTGTTCAACCCAGTGGGCTACATATAGAACCCTACATATTCTATCATTAGAAGCAGTCACTGCTTTACCTGAAAATAATCAGCCATAAAAGCTATATAATGCAAATACCTTAGTAACTAAAGGGATGAGTTCTGGATCAGCAAGTACAAAAATGTCCCAGGGCACTTCTGCAAAATGGGAATAACCCATTTAATCACACATCACTGTGGCAAAGCACTTTCTGCTTTGCGGTCTTTATGTTTGAATAAGCAGCTTATTCCTATGTTGCAGAAATGCCCTGGGACAAGGTTGTATTTGCTTATTGTGTGGATGATTGACCTACAAGCACCTGGTAAGCACCTGCAGGTATCTACAAAGGTAACAGAACACCATCAATAACACACAAGTTCATATATTCGTTCCTGGTGCATGCTCCATATTATTTGCAGCTGCAGAAGTTGAAGAGTTAGCTGTCTATATTGGTTATGTACAGCATTAACATCATAGAGCTATTTATTCCAAATAGTAGATCTTAAATACTCCAAGTATGTTGTCCATTTTCAGAAAAAGGTATGGAAACCATGCTTTCATTGGACTTGAGTCTGAATAACAAGATAAGATGGAAGCCAAAAGTCAGCAGTACATCCTTGATTTTGGATTTGTGGTAAAGTGCTGATACATTAATTCTTTTTTATTAAGCAAAGAAATGTATTTCTTTAACTTGTTATTTTGGAGGCCTTTAGAGTCCAAACCAACCTTATATGTAATCATAATGCAATCATATAAATATCATATTTGCCAATTAAACTGTGTATTTTCTTAACATGTACTGTATGCCTCAATAGCGGGCCCTGTACCTACATAGTAATTGCTTAGATGTTGGAGAAAACAACATCCTGGTTCTAAGGCTCTACCAGGCTCTTCCAAGCCTTACACTGGTGATCAGTAGTAATAATGCAACCTTTGCAGACAGCTAAAAAAAGATAATTGGTGTCAAGCTGCTGACTTGGGCAAGTTTTCTTGGTTGTGGAACTCTGCAGGCACCATGAAATCAAAGGTCAACCAAGGATATCCCTGTATAGTGATTTTTAATGTATTTTCTTCCTTTATCTAATGTTGCTAGGACTAAAACAGATAAGAGAAAGGTGGTGCCAGTGACTACTTTTCACATGTTCCTGTTTCTCTTTACCTCCTGTAGAATAGGGATAAACATGATTTTGGGAAATCAGTTTTGTTCATTGTCCTTTTTAAGAGTTTTTTTTTTTAGTTTATTTAGTGTTTTATATTTTTTAGGGTTTTTTTTCAGTTTTAATTTGTATTTTTATAGTGTCAAGCTCATAATATGACATGGTGCTCATATGCAAGCTGAAGGCTTCTTTGAGAAAAAATGCATTCAATTTGCAGATGTCACTGCAGTCTGTAGAAGCCACTTTGTCTGATAATTGCTTTTACTGCCATCTGGCTTCCTGTGTGAAAGAGCCCTAAAACCCAACCCAACAGAATCGCTGTTGTGATCCTTGAAGATTTTTAATATTAGTTACTTCACAATGCATGCAACTAGAGAGGTTAGTATTGCCTTGTGGCAAAGCTCTTTTAGTGCTTGTTAAGTATATGTAAGATCTATAATGTCTATAGTCTAGGTACGGGTGTACTTTAAAGAGTTGAAATAAAAATTAAACGTGTTTACATACTATATATGCATTCGTATGTTGTCTACTGTAAAAGGAAATCATCTGGCACTTTTTGTATTGTTCTAATTGTTTAAAGCCCAGCACTGGGTTCAGTTTGTATTGGTGATAAAATATAATTGTACTGTATATTTCTAGTTACTGATCAATGACAGTAGACTCCTGTCTGTCTGTCATGTGTCCCAGGCAATAGAGCAGCTAGGTATTTCAAGTAATTTTCACTGAACAGTAACCTGACTACTAAAGAAGTCATGCAATCAATAAAACAAATACATAATCTTTATGTGAAATGAAGTAGAATTCATAAACGTAAAGTGTTACTAAACCCACAACAGTAAAATCAGTCTCTATACGCACTAAAGCATGCTTGTTATACTCACTGTGGAACCTAAGGGATTAATCCTCTGCATTGTTTAAAAATGCTGTTTTATCCTGACTTTTCTGATCCTCCCCTTCTTCCAGTGTCTCCCTCTTGTCTCCTGATAGGACATATCATGTTGAGACACTGCACATGCTTAGTTTGGTGTGTATTGCTAGAGAGGTTTTTTTGGGTGGAGAGTCCAAACACAGGGCCATTCAGCACTGTCCAGACAGAGGTCAGGGGTTCTACATCCTTCTAGAGCTGACAGGGCCAATCAGCACTGTCCAGACAGGTCAGGGGTTCTGCAACCTCCTAGAACTGAAAGAAAACTCCTCCTACAAGCTTTAACCAGTGCTCTGCTGGACATTGATAGAAGTCACAAGACTGCTCTAACTGCTGATGGGAAATGATATGTTACAATTTATATTTACTATTGCATTTCCATGTTGTGTGTACTGTAGGAGACCAGATATAGCGAATGCAGGGTCCTGGGTTTAGGGACACTTAAAAGAAATTTCACACACACAGGAAAAGAAAATTATTGATGACCAAAGGTGGAAAGATTCCAGAATTGTGTCATCATAAAAAAATTCTCCTGAACCAAAATACAGTTACAGAAATCGTGCATCATCTGATCCATCTTTTTTGCGCTCCATCTATACTGCACTTCTCCCCACTTAACATTTTTTTTATATATATATATATATATATATATATATATATATATATATGTATGTGTATATATATATATATATATATATATGTATATTAATATATTGATCCCTGATGAAGTCATGTGATGCGTGACGCAACTCGTCTGACAGAAGCATGGTGACGTAATTTCCGGTTATGGAGACGATCACCGCCATCTTTGTTTACAAAGTATCCATACTGTGAGAGGGCGTTTTAGCCCCTTTACTCTTGTGAGTGCATTCTTTGCTTTTTTTAATATTATTATAATACAGGATTTTTATAGCACCAACAGTTTGCGCAGCGCTTTACAAAATAAAGGTAGACATTACAGTTACAATACAATTTGGTACAAGAGGAAACAGAGGGCTCTGCTCATTAGAGCTTACATGAAGTTTTAATAAATTAACTTAACTGCACTATGAGGAGCAATTGATTTTCATTTCAATTGAATTAAAATCATAAATCCATAGAAATCATTCTGAAAAAATACAGGCAGGCTCAATCAATTGCTGTTTCCAGAGTCCAGCAGCAAGATCGCATAGTTTTCAACTCCTAAAGCCATTATTAACTTTCTTAGCTTATTCAGAATCCCACGGGTCATAGTCATGGAGCTATGTGAAACATGTTGGGAGGTGTGGCCTGGACGGAGCTGGGCTGAGTCTTATGTATCTTATGACTGTCGTGCTCTGCCTGTGTGCGGAATTCGGGGGGGGGGGGTCCCTTTTTCTTACATTACATGGATTGATACTCCATGTCACAAGCCCTTCTTTATTAATATTATTATACAGGATTTATATAGTGCCAACAGTTTGCTCATCGCTTTACAATATAAAGGGAGACAATACAGCAATGATACAGTTCAATACAACAGGGTTAGGAGGGCCCTGCTCCTTGGAGCTTACAATCTAAGACGGAGGGGCTGGTGGTACAAAAGGTAGTAACTGTGGGTGATGGACTGATAGGAGAAACAGAAGATTCTGTTATTAGCTAAAGGCAGGATAGGCTTCCCTGAAGAGATAGGTTTTCAGAGATCGCCTAAAAAGTGAGCAGAGTAGGCAATAGTCGGATAGATTGGGGTAGAGAGTTCCAGAGGAGGGGGGGGGGGGCTCTGGAGAAGTCCTGGAGAGGAGCATGGTTGGAGGAGACAAGGAAGCTAGAGAGCAGGAGGTCAATTTATAAACACTGTATACCTTTTGATGTATTTTTATAAAATTCACCAGCACAGTTGCCAGCATTCTCTGCACATTCCCACAGTTGCATTCCCTGCACTTATAACAGAGAATATTTACAGAGAACTGTGAAAAATGCCTTTAAGCCTTCTGGTGAATGTGCTGGTTGGAGTTTTTGCTCTTTTTATGCTGTTTTGGAACCAGGATGATTAATTATCAACTTTATTTTATAATTTATATTTTTGCAGGTAAATCATTTATTTTTCAAACAGCAGTCACCTGAATGTTGAAGTTTATACAATGCAAACAAGTACAAGAATCTTATTATTGATGGAAAGGGATGTTAAAGTAATTCTTTCAGCAGCTCAGCACCCACTTTTACCCCAGTGGCTGGTCAGCCTTTTAACCTGAAAATCTATGGCAGGCTTTATTACATGGCAGCTGGATGCTGCACCAAGCAGTGCTTTCATTTAGGACTACTGTATATGCATTCAGGGATGTATTTTTCAAATGCAGAAATACTGCACCTGTACATCCTGGGAGCCTAAGAAAAGCTGGGATCTGATGCTGATGGGCCATATCACCCATGTGCATGGGGCTAAAAATTTCAGCTGTGAAATTTGAGAATGAATTGTTGCACACTGCCTTCAAATACAGAAGTCGGTGATTATTTCAGCATCCTCTCAGAACCAGTGGTGCATGCCTCTTTAAATCTAATATTGAGTAGGTCCCTCTTTTGACGCCTGTCAAGGCATGGACACCACTAGGCCTCTGAAGATATGCTGTGGTAAAGAGGCACGCACCACTGGTTCTGAGAGGATGCTGGATTAACCCCCACTGCCCCTGCTCCAAGATGTGACAGAATTTGTAACCAATGCCTGTATACATCAGAGTTCTGGTGAGTGCGCACCCATAAGAAGTGGTGGATATTCTTAAAGGCACATGCACTACTGCACTTTGACACAGGATTTATCGTTTTAAATGGACAATTCTTTCTAATATCCCTGTTTATTTGTGTATACCCTCTTGGGAGTATATTTATTGATGATAGACTTTTTATCTTCACTTCATGGCACAAATTGCACAATGACACTTTAAGAATTGTAAGATATCTGCTATATTTAGTTCTATATGGATTGATTGACAACATATGGAGATTGTTGTTTTTCATTTATTTATTTGCTATTGATCATACAGGTGAAACTCGAAAAATTAGAATATCGTGCAAAAGTTCATTTATTTCAGTAATGCAACTTAAAAGGTGAAACTAATATGTGAGATAGACTCATTACATGCAAAGCGAGATAGTTCAAGCCGTGATTTGTCATAATTGTGATGATTATGGCTTACAGCTCATGAAAACCCCAAATCCACAATCTCAGAAAATGAGAATATTGTGAAAAGGTGCAATATTCTAGGCTCAAAGTGTCCCACTCTAATGAGCTAATTAAGCCATAACACCTGCAAAGGGTTCCTGAGCCTTTAAATGGTCTCTCAGTCTTGTCCAGTAGGAATCACAATCATGGGAAAGACTGCTGACCTGACAGTTGTGCAGAAAACCATCATTGACACCCTCCATAAGGAGGGAAAGCCTCAAAAGGTAATTGCAAAAGAAGTTGGATGTTCCCAAAGTGCTGTATCAAAGCACATTAATAGAAAGTTATGTGGAAGGGAAAAGTGTGGAAGAAAAAGGTGCACAAGCAGCAGGGATGACCGCAGCCTGGAGAGGATTGTCAGGAAAAGGCCATTCAAAAGTGTTGGGGACTTTCACAAGGAGTGGACTGAGGCTGGAGTCAGTGCATCAACAGCCACCACACACAGACTATCCTGGACATGGGCTTCAAATGTCGTATTCCTCTTGGCAAGCCGCTCCTGAAAAACAAACAACGTCAGAAGTGTCTTACCTGGGCTAAAGAAAAACAGACCTGGTCTGTTGCTCAGTGGTCCAAAGTCCTCTTTTCTGATGAGAGCAACTTTTGCATCTCATTTGGAAACCAAGGACCCAGAGTATGGAGGAAGAATGGAGAGGCACACACTGCAAGATGCTTGAAGTCCACTGTGAAGTTTCCACAGTCTGTGTTGATTTGGGGAGCCATGTCATTTGCTGGTGTTGGTCCACTGTGCTTCATTAAGTCCAGGGTCAACGCAGCCGTCTACCAGGAGATTTTGGAGCACTTCATGCTTACTTCCGCAGACAAGCTTTATGGGGATGCTGACTTCATTTTCCAGCAGGATAAGAGACATGAGACCGAACAATGCAAAAGAGCTGAAGGCCGCTATGGAAGCATCCTGGTCTTCCATAACACCTCAGCAGTGCCACAGGCTGATAGCTTCCATGCTACACCGCATTGAGGCAGTAATTGCTGAAAAAGGGGCCCAAACCAAGTACTGAGTACATATGCATGCTTATACTTTTCAGAGGTCCGATATTGTTCTATGTACAATCCTTGTTTTATTGATTGCATGTAATATTCTAATTTTCTGAGATTGTGGATTTGGGGTTTTCATGAGCTGTAAGCCATAATCATCACAATGATGACAAATTACGGCTTGAACTATCTTGCTTTGCATGTAATGAGTCTATCTCATATATTAGTTTCACCTTTTAAGTTGCATTACTGAAATAAATGAACTTTTGCACGATATTCTAATTTTTCGAGTTTCACCTGTATATTGCACAGTCTTTTGCACATATAGCACTTTATATTTATTTTGCACAATTTAAATTTATGAATTGAAATAGCGCTGTATTTTATTATTATAAGAAGTCATTGATTACTTATTTTAAAATGTTTACTGCCTGTTAAGAATATGTAAATAATGGCTTGTCCAAAGTCTGGGCACAGGTCCACCCTAACAGTCTTCCAAACGTTGTGTAGTAAAAAAAATTGTTATGAGATATTGGTTACAAATGTTGTGTATGATCTGTAAATTAACCAAAACAAATGCAGAGCCAATGCTGCATACATTTTTTTTAAAACATACCTAAATTTAAAAGTTAATATACAGCCATTTTAACAGTCTTACTGGTTTGGAAACAAGGTGTTACAGAAGGACTGAAATACTTACTTTTGTCAGAGAAAATGCTGCTACAGGTTCTTTTGGGTGCTGGCCACATGACCAAAACCGAAGCTTTGTTACCATAGCCTCTGCTCATGGGGAGGGTCAGCTGATCAAAAATCTGGTCCTCCCCTTCAACAGAAGTCACATGACTACATACCTAGTTGTTTAAAGTGTTACTAAACGCACAACAGTAAAATCAGTCTGTATATGCAGCAAAGCATTCTTGTTATACTCTCTGTGGAATCCACGGGGTTAATCCTCTGCATTGTGTAAAAATGCTGTTTGAGCCTGACTTCTCTGATCTTCCCCTTCTTCCAGTATTCCCCTCTTATCTCCTGATAAGACATATGTGTGGAGTCACTCTGCACATGCTCAGTTTGGTGTGTATTACTAGAGAGGTTTTTTTTTTTTTCTTGAGAGAGTGCATGTGACCAGCACAGGGTCAATCAGCACTGTCCAGATAGAGGTCAGGGGTCTTTCATTCTCCTGGAGCAGAATGAAAACTCCTCCTAAAAGCTTTAACATGTGCTCGGCTGGACACTGATACAAGTCACAAGACTGCTCTAAC